GCATCTGTGGGAAGAGATGATGGAGAAGCTCAATATCAGCAGCTAAAACCAAGCCAGGGCTTACTGTAGAACAGATCACCAATTGTTCATATGGAAGTTTAGGTTACAGTTGAATGACATTATAGTAAGTCTACAAGAGTGTAAATATGACCTTCAGTTTATCGCACCTGAAATATTCTTGACCTATATCCCAATAAAGGATTTGCAGCACTGAACACTCATGATAGCAGACTCGATGAGTTGTGGGATGAAATTAAGAATACCAGTCCTGTAGAAAGTAAAAAGTCATTATAGACAACAAGAAAGAAAAGATCGAAGTGGATGTCAAAAGGGACTCTAAAACTTGCTTTTAATTGTAGAGGACACACGGCTAATGGAAGAAATGATGGCGTAAAAGAGCCGAACAGAAATTTTCAAAGGCAACTCGAGAAGACAAAATACTATGAAATGTGCAAAGACTTAGAATTAGAAAGTCAAAAAGAAAGAACACACTCAAGGTGTCTTATAATGACAGAATGCAAGAAAAAGAAATCCAAACCTCAAGAGCAATATTCAAAGATTCTTTGGGCAAAATATTGAATGCTGTAGGAAGCATTGAACAAAGATGGACAGAATACAAAGAGAAACTGGACTAAAACTATGAGTCTTCATTCTACCATTTCAACAGGTAGCAAGAACCAATGAAGCTGAAGGAAGAAGTTCAAGCTGCAATGAAAGCATTACCACAAAACAAGACTACAGGAATTGATAGATTATCGATCGAAATATTTCAACACACTAATGAAGCATTGAAAGAATTTACTTATCTATGCCAGGGCATTTGGAAGACAGCTACTTGGCCAACTGACTGAAAGAGATCCATATTTGTACCCATTCCAAAGAAAGGTGACCCAACCGAAAGTCCTACTTATAGAACAATAATAATGAAATCATTGATATCATATGCAAGGAAAGTTTTGCTACAGATCATCCAACAATAGTTGCAGCAGTACATTGACAGGAAGTTGCCAGAAGTTCAGGCTGGATTCAGAAGAGGATGTAAAACAAGGGACATCATAACTGATGCCAGATGGATCTTGGCTGAATGCAGAGAATACCAGAAAAAAAAGTTTACTTGTGCTTTATAAGCTATGCCAAGGCATTCAGCTGTGTGGACCATAATAAACTGGATAACCTTGAGAAGAATGGGAATTCAGAACATTTCATTGTGGTCTGGTGGAACTTGTACACAGATCCAGAGGCACTTGTGTGAATGGAACAAGGGGATACAGAATGGTTAAAAACAGGAACGGTGTGTGTTTGAGTCCTACCTTTTCACCATACTTATTCTATCTGTATGCTGGACAAAACCTCAGAGAAACTGGCTTCTTTGAAGAAGAATTTCGCACCAGGATTAGAGGAAGACTTTATAAAACAGCCTTCCATATGCAAATGGCACAACCTTCCTTGTTGAAAATGAGGAAGTCTTGAAACCATTGCTGATAAAGGTAAAAAAATATTGCAGCCTTCAGTATGGATTACAATCCAATATAAAGAAGACCAAAATCTCCACAATTGGATCAATAGATCAAGCATAAAGAAAAATGGACTTTGTCAAAGATTTTTTCGCGCTGGTGAAAGTGGACATTGAGTCACTAAGAGCAAAGAAGAATTTAGGTGCTTGAATTGTAGTGCCGGAGAAGAATATTGAAAGTACCATAGACTGCTAATAAAAAAAAATGCCTTAGAAGAAGTACGGTTAGCATGTGACTTAGAGACAAGGCTGGAAAACTTTCTCTTACATACTTCTGATGTGTTGTAAGTAGAGACCAGTCCCTGGAGAAGGAGATCGTCTTTGTTTATGTGGAGGAGATGAAGGCCCTCAAAGAGACGGATTGGCTGCAACAAAGGACTCCAGCACAGGAAACACTATGCAGATGGCACAGGAGTGGGAATTTGTCCTTCTGTTGCACATACAGTTGCAATGGGTTGGAACCAATTTGATGCCACCTAACCACAACAATGGTCATTGCTAGTTACCAGGATGAAGGAGAGAGGGAGAGAGAGTTTTACTTTCTAAATGGTGGAAACTGGTTATTTTTGGTGATGGGCAAGGTATTTACTAATGAAGATGCCATGTGTACATCTTGAAGTTAAACAATGTCACTAAATGGGTCACAAGAAAATAAACCTTTTGATAATCGCTTTTGCAAAATAATGGTAGAAAAAAAGATAAAAGCAGTAACAAAACCCATGGTTGTGTGTGTATGCATTCTTGAATATATATTTGTGTATATAAATATGTATGCAACTGTATGCTTATATATTAATATGCAAGTATATAATAAGTTACATTCAGGGAATAGTTGTAGGATATCTCTTAGACATACCAAAAGCCTCAAGGCAGAGGTTTCCTGGGTTTGAAGTATAAAGGACAGTTTCCTGAGACACTTAGGCAAGTGGCATAATAAATAAGCTGATTACATTCTATATCCACGTTTCATGAGCAGCGTCTGTTTTTTTCAAACTGTGTGAGAAGCTATTTAAGATACATCTCAACCTCTAGTCATCCATAACAAAATAAATGGAAGAAAAAAATAAGACTCAAAGAAGACATTATTCTGCAGCACAAATAGCTCACATGAAACACAGCACCATTTATCCTGATAACAGAAGAACTAGATGGTACTCATTGGTGCTACTGACAAGTCTAATCAGAACCACAATAGATGAACAGTCATAGAAAGAGAAATATTGTGGAACAAAAAAGCAGAACACTGAAAGAAACACACACACACACATACCCCAGACTTACTGGACTCGTTGAGACTGGTGGTTTCCCAGAGACATGTTTTTAAGTCTTGAACCTAAACTAGCGCCTGAGATCACCATTTAGCTAAATAATAGATTAGCTCACAATCACCCAGGAGTGTGGTCTCTTTTGAAAAATCATCTGCATGAGACCAAAAGGTCAAAAACTACATTAAAACAAAATAAGAATATAATGGAGCCTGTGAAAATAGATTAATGCAAACAGTAGACAAGCACAGAGATAGAGGGAATGCACATGCATTGTTAAGAATGTAGCAAATGTCACTGAACAATATATGCAGAAATTATTGCGTGAGAACCTAAAGTGTTGTGTGAACTTTCACCAAAAACACAATATATTTTTAAAAGTTTTGTCTTGTGTTTAACCAAAAGTAATTTTGGGTTAAAAAATTCAACACAATTTGAATGTATTGGTGAAGGATAAATTGGCTTCAAAATTCTATGACTAAAATAATTTTCAAAACAAATAATGAATGCTAGATTCATAGATCATGCATTCTTAATGAGTTTTATTTTATGTGAAAAGGTGACTAAAATTAGGCTTCTATTAAGTGATTTCTGGATTTGGCTATTTTTTCCTGTTTTTATTTTATCTTGGTGCATCTCCTCTTGATTATACTTAAGTTTTGATGACACTTATCAAACCCTTAAATGTACTTTTATAAAACATTCTCATAATTACAGGTTCATTTATCATCTTAATATGACTACAAAGTACAAGGCGAATCTATATAGAAAGATACGCACAAAAGCATGGAAAAATGTCCTGAGTTAAAAGCATTGAGATCAATCATTAAACATGTGAAAGTAACTATTTGCATCAGAAAAGTATGAATGGATTTTTTTGGTATTAAAATTATGTTAATTCCAACTACATATATCATCAAGCAATTTCTAGAATATCATCACCAATATACATGTTGAGGAGCTTTTGTTGCTAAGTTTGTTTCAATCCCTAAGGCCCTAAATCGAGTCCTTGAATACAGCACTTGATTGCACTAATCCTACATTTTATAATCTAATAAAATTACAAAGAGGATATGTGTAGAGCTTCAAGTAGTAAATATTTCCAGTTAGAATAGTCATGGGATTTCCCTGAATATTCATTTTTGGGATATAAAATTTAATGATTTTAAAAGAGTCTTTATTAAACTCTCTTTCTTGTTATATGGAAAAAAACAGAATTCAATGACTTGAAGTTTAATATTATTGTTTTTTTAAATTACATATTAGCAACAATCTAGTCCGACATACACCTATAATAAATTCTAAAGAGCAAACAAGTGGAAGATAGCACTGATTTTTGTGAAAATAAGCCTAGCTATTTACATGAAACTACCCTTGCTTTCAAATATGAGAAAATGTGAGAGAAAATGCAAGTGGAGGTATGATAACACCTAAAACGATAAATAAAAGGATGGCAACAACGTGAAAATCAAATCAGTCACTAGAAAACTGTGAAGTTATTGACACCCAAAGAATTATTTAAAAATATATAGAACTTTTGGCACAAAAAACATTCAGCGGATAAAAATAACTATTTCAGGATGACTTTAAAGATATCAGTCTTCTATACCACAAAGAAAATCAAATTAAACATCTTTTTGGAATATTTTCTTTTAATCTTGATTTTCTAAGACTTTTCCTAACAATTTTTTGTTAAATCTTTATCAAAGGTCATTGATAACCATATTCAGATGGATTTATTCAAGCAGTTTTAATCATTAGAAAACTACATTTGTATCTACAATAAGAAAAATAACTTTCTAAAACGAATAAGCTTTTATACCGATATAGTAATTCTTATATCATTTAAACATTAAACCAAATCTTCAGGTTAATGAATATCTGAAATCCTACGACATGAAGGGCATCATTTTAGGATTAGAGGAAGAGATGGAGAAGAAGTTGTCTGTGGCTCTCGCGGCGCCGCCCCCTCTTCCTCACCTCGCCTGCCGGCTGCGGCGCTGCGACTGCTGCGGGAAGCCGGGACCATGTTTTGATGCTCTTGGTTACCACAACCCTGCCGGTTTCAACTGCCAAGATGAAACAGAATTTAGAAATTTTATTGTGTGGCTTGAAGACCAGAAAATCAGACAGTACAAGATTGAAGACAGAGGGAATTTAAGAAACATTCACAGCAGTGATTGGCCCAAGTTCTTAGAAAAGTATCTCAAAGATGTTAACTGTCCTTTCAAGATTCAAGATCGACAAGAAGCAAGTGACTGGCTTCTTGGCTTAGTTGTTAGACTCGAATATGGAGATAATGCTGAAAAATACAAGGACACAGTTCCTGATAATTCAAAAAATGCTGACAATGCAGCTAAAACTGCAGAGCCACTGGTCAACTTGGATGTAAATAACCCTGATTTCAAGGCTGGTGTAATGGCTTTGGCTAATCTTCAGATTCAGCGCCATGATGATTACCTGATAATGCTAAAGGCAATTCGAATTTTGGTTCAGGAGTGCCTGACGCAAGATGCAGTTGCTAAAGCTCATCAAACAAAAGAGGGCATGCCTGTTGCTTTAGACAAGCATAGTCTTGGTTTTGACAGAGGAGATGCAGTTCTTAATGAAGCTGCTCAGATTCTGATTGCTGCATATAGAAGAACTCAGAGAGCTACAGACAAAACTCAATGAAGCCATCGTCGCTGTTCAGTCAATTATTGCAGATCCAAAGACAGACCACAGACTGGGCAAAGTTGGAAGATGAACACTTCAGCTTCTCACCAGCTTGGTACAGTTGGGGACCATTGTACACTTCTGGTATGTGTTTGGAAATCAAATGTCACATTTTCGAGAGGGACAAATCATAGAAAATAGACTATGTTCTAGATATTTACCATCATAGCTTTTTTTCTTTAATAAAGTTTGGGCAAGTGGAAGAAAAAAATTAAAAAAAAAAAGTTGTCTGTGATGCAATTCCTGTCCTTAAGAAGTATAAAGTACATGACATATTCACTAAGTGAAACATGGATTCAATGCAGCACATGTAAAGAGATTTAGTAGAAAATAATCTGGGCAGGTGATTTGAGATCAGAATTTGGAAAACCTTTGTTTCCTGTTTGGGATTGGGCCCTCTCCTGAAGTCAGTGTGAATCCTGGAAGATTTTTAAGGAGATGGATTCCATGCTTTGAATTATATTTTAATGTATTTATAACCCTGAAAGAGTATGAAAGACCGTTTAGGTGAGATACTGTAAATGATGATAATACTTAGGAGAACATTTCATAGTACAGAGAGACTATTAGGAAATGAGGCATTATACATTTGAAACAAATTAGGGTAGAATGAAAGGATAAGACAATAAAAGGAAGGCAAGCTGACTGTTTAGTGAAGGAGATTTTCCAAGGACCCTGTTATGGAAATCTGAAAATCCTCTCATCTAGATGTTCCTTACTGTTTTTATGTCATGTGAGGAATTCCAAGTGTTCACTTTCAGCAAGGTTTTGAACCAAGAATTATAATACTGCTTTCAAAAATTCCCTAAGTCAACCGAAATTGCATTCAAAATGCTTTCTCTATGTAAATACATCCCCTGATTATCTACTTCTTCACCTCATTCAAATGTATGCTCAAAATCAGAAGGGACTTCTGCTATCACCCTTTATAAATAACAAATGCTGTTCTCTAGTCATATTATATATAGTGCCTTATTCTCATTTTACTTCTTAAGTCTTTTCACCATGAACTTACTTTTATCTCTATTTATTTATTTATAGTCATATCCAATCCCCCCTCTTCCCACTAACAATAATGCAAACTTCATGAATATTTCATGTGATTTGTTCACTGCTATATTCCTGTGATCTAAAATAATGCCTGGTAAAGTGTAGGTGCTCAATAAATATTTGTTGAATAAGTGATTAAATATGTGCATGTTCATTTTTTAATTCATAAAAAATAATAAAGTTTTATAAGGGCAGTGGATATCTATATATGTTTACTTATAAATGATAACTGAGACAGAATATATTTTAATGGTTGACAGGTGTTGTTGCTGTTAATCTCCCTGAGTTAAATGCAACTCATAGTCACAAGGTAAAACTGTGTAGGATTTTAAAGGCTGTGAGCTTTCCATAGGAGATTATCAGACTGGTCTTCCTAGGCACCTCTAGCTGTGTTCCAAACACTAACCTTCTGATAAACAACAGAGTAATTAAGCATTTGCACTACGTAGGAACTCTGGGTGCTGCTTTTAGTGTTATGATTCTTCTAATCAGTTCCAACTGACAGGGATCTTATATAAAACAAAATGAAAAGATCCTGGTACTTGGCCATCCTCACAATTGTTGCCATGTCTGAGCTTCCTGTTGCAGCCACAGTGTCAATCCATCTTAACAAGGATGTCCCTCTTTTTTGCTGCGCTTCCACTTCCCCAAAATGATGTCCAGGGACTTGCCTCTCTTGATAACATGCCCAAAGTACATTACACAAAGTCTCATCATCCTCACTTCTAAGGAGAATTCTGGTTGCACAAAGACAAATTTTTTTATTCCTCTGGTGTTCCACAGTTTTCAATATTATTTATCAGAACCATCATTCAAATACATCAATTCTTCTTAGATTCACTCTCCAACTTTCAATAGAGCTTGGATATGAGGCAATTGAAAACACCATGACTTGGG